CAGATCACCCTGTCCTTCAAAACAGCTTATGGAAAGGTAAATAATGAGAACAGAAGGAAGGGGAAATAAGAGCCTACATTCCTTCGTCAGAAGTCAGAAGACTTAGTGTTTGGAAAAAAAGATTGGAAGCTGGGAAGATGATGCAAAACTGTCTCTTCCACCTACAGGAAAGTGCTCTAACCATCCGTTCCCTTCAACTGGTATAATTTAATTGGCACTGCATGCATTATTGTAAATGGAGCAGCTTGACCAGGAAGGAAAAAGGACTTCTCTCCCAAACATAAAGCACCTAATAGGGATAAGTTAGGCATTTTACTGGGAGAAGAGAATTGGAATTTTGAATTTTTCTCACACTGAGCACTTAAGTTCTTCTACATTTGCAGAATCATTTTTGTTTAGTAAAATCTACAATTGTTCAAACAGGAAGGGGTGGTTTGGGGAACTCTCGTTTCCTTAGCAGCATTCCAGACAACATTTTTGTATAAGGTGTTGGCAATATGATTTAATTCATGTATGTGTTGCACCTTGTATACATTGTTACCCAGCCCAATACTTAATTTTCCCACTCAAAAAGAGGGAGAATATATTCATTTGGAAAAGAAGGGTCTAGAGCTAGTTACACTAAACTGTTGTAACTCTGGACTAAGTTTCAAAGGATGACAGCATGACTGGAAGATAAAAGACGACAAGAGATGTATCAAAAAAATGCGATTTTCTTAGTTGCACTCTTCAATATTTAGATGACCAAAGATATAGAAAAACCAAATGTTAAGGTGATACGAGTTTTCCCACCTCCTACTGCATCCCTTCCACAAAAAGTTGTTTAGATATATTAAAAGTCTATGTTCAATGAAAACTATATTCCCAGCTAGACTGCAGTCCAAGGGTCTTGTTACTAGCGCTTTTCAAAAATGTCTTGGGTGCAGTTTGGACAATTCAAAATTGATTTTGAAGTGTAAGGAAAATCAACCTAAAAGGTTTTCTAGTAAGTCACACTGACTATAATGGTTCAATGGGTAGCTCCTTTCATTCATTAACTTTTACAGCATGGCTCAAAAGTATAACCTAGATTGACGCTTCACTACGTTAATCCTTTTGACCAGGAGTTTTGGGGTAATTCTGCCTAAATTCTGGCACGGTAATCATGAACATCAAGCTGTCATAATTAAATATGTGGGAAGTCCCAAGCTGAGATATTCAATCCTTTTGTATAAATGTGTGTTAAGATCTGGATTCTGTTCAGATAAATATATATTTTATTTCAGTATGTTAATGATAAAATTTAGCAATCTATATTTATTTAGCAATGTATTTTCCATTTTCCTCCATATGTAGTCTATAAAAAATAAATACCAAACTCCATCTGGCTATCATTTCTTTATTTTACTACCATGATCTGAAGGCTGTGACAGAGTACAAAGGCGAAAGGCAAGTATGTTCTTATCATGTCTGTTTGCTACATACTTTTCCTGCCAAGAAAAATTGTTCTTAATGCTTAAAAGGTAAAAATCATATCTTTGCATATGATAAGTTACAAAATCAGTAATAGTCTATCATCTTTGACATAAATATTTACACCAAAATACAGAAACAACAGTTCCTCTTACCTTTTTCGTACCAAGTCAAGAATAAGGAATCGTTATTTCCAGGGTTCCAGTAGGAAATGAAAAATGAGTTAAGTCCGTTATTTCTGTGAAGAAAAGACTACTGTTCAGTTATATCTTGCCGGAGGGGATCTGCACCCTCAGCATCCCCCCCCACCATAAAGCGTAGTAGAAGTTGCCCTGGAGAATGTAGTCTCCAAGACACTTTATTACTAGACAGACACCTTTCATGCCATTTCCCTCCCTTGGTTATGGATATCTAAGAGAGCACTATAGATATTGCAAGAGACAGTGGAACTAGTACTGTAATTTTCCAATTACTTTTAAGCTGTGTTGCTGCTGAAAGAATTGGTCGTACTCTTTCCTTTTCTTCTCTGGCTTTGTGTTTCTGGGTCCATGGCTCTGTAGGTATTTCTGTTGGTCAAAAAGAGCTCAGGAACTCTTCGGGGTCAAAATCATTGTGATTGCATGAGACACGATTGTTGTGTGCAGAAGAAAGAATAGTCATTCTTTCTTCTTTTTTACAGAAGCAGTGCCAGCTTCTGCCACCTTAGTGATTGTGAAAGTATGGCATTATACAGTCAGTCCTGCTTGAATCCTCATTCTAGGGTTATTTGATATTTATATTCATTTATTCATTGCTCTCTGTCAGCTAAGGGGATAAAAAAAGAAAAGTCACTGGTTTTAAAGGCTCATTTTCTGTTTAGACTGCAAAGATGCACTTCACTTTTTATCTTCCAGGCCTTCTAATGCAAAGGACGGATTTTTTGTGAATGAAATTAAGTTTCTTATATCATCTGGTCTCTTCTGATTTATTTCTACATAAAGATGAGATAAAGACCATACAGATTTGTCCCTAAACAAAATGAGAGTAAAACAAAGTTGAAGTTAGCGTTTTATAAATGTTTCAGTTCTTTTCTAGGTCTCCACTATTGTTCTAGGGAAATACAATACTGGAAATAAAAAACTTAATACAACCTATTTACTCTATTTCAAGAGAAATGTAACTTGTTGACTTAGTGTTGTGCCCTTTCTCTACCTTCTAAAGCTAATTTTATTAGCATGGCTTCACAGCAGTGATATCTGTTAATATATGTGCACAGAGAAGAGTTTCATGTTGCTCTTCAAACAGTGACAGAACTCTTGTTTTTAAACTCAGTACTTTCTGGTTTATTGCTGGGCTGAGGCACTGCAAAAAGGTTGTCACTATAAGCCTTCACAAAGTTGTCATTCTCTCCACTTGACTCCATTTTGCTGTTAAAGTTTGTTGTAAGTAACTAAAGTATGGATCAGTTCCAAAACTGGCATGCTTCTCTGTTTGTAACTGATAAACTGAAAAGCCATCAGGGAAAAGTACCAAATTCTTATTAGGTCAGTGGTCTTGAAGCCATGAAGCATTATCTACTACCAATTTCCCAGAAAGTTGGGCTCCTGTGAGTTCAATAGAAACCTGACATTTTTCAGGAGAAAGTAATTTGAGGAAATTTCTTGGCTGTTTTGGGAAGCATTAAAGAATAAAAAGTGTTTGCTTTCCAGTAGAAGCTCTGTAGCAGAAGTGCCAGTGATCTCCCCGGGCTTTTGTGCACAGCTGGACTTTCATGCCCATCAGATTTATAAAACAAGTTGTTGCCAATTTTTTCCAAAAAGAAGCTTTAAATTGCCTCCTTGCATTCCAAATTTCCAATTTCCTAATAGACAAATTCCCAATTTGCTAAGGATTTTGCAAACAAATTCCAAAAATAAAAAGTAAATGTATGAACTGAACTTGCTGGATTCTGGAGTGCTAGATTCTCTTAAATTCCAAAATTTAATATTTTCTCTGTTAAACGCTGAAAGATAAGTAAAACTGATGCCATCATAGCTCTACATATCCACTCTGCTTTGATACTCTGGGATTCATAGTTTATGGGGTGAAAGTAAAACAGGAAAATCAGATGATGCATGAAATCCTTTTGGTTACTAAGAAAGAGCCACATTTTTGCAAACTTATGTGAAAATCTCTAGGAAAACATAATTTCAGTTCAAAACAATCTTTTAGCTTCTCTCATTTCCTACTGTATGTTATAC